TTGTTTTTTTACAACAGAGTCACTGTGTTGTCCAGGCTGGAGTGCAGTGGTGTAATCTTGGCTCACTGCAACCTCCACCTCCCAGGTTCAAGCAATTCTTCTGCCTCAGCCTCCCAAGTGGCTGGGACTACAGGTGCATGCCACGATGCCCAGCTAATTTTTGTATTTTTAGTAGAGACAGGGTTTCACTATGTTGGCCAGGCTGGAACTCCTGACCTCAGGTGATCTACCTACCTCTGCCTCCCAAAGTGCTGGGATTACAGGCATGAGCCATTGTGCCCAGACTCGTTGATCTTGTTTCAAAGGTTTTTTGTGCCTCAGTTTTCTCCATTTCAGCTCTGATTTTTGTTATTTCTCATCTTTTTCTAGCTTTTAGTTTGCAAATCAGCATTTTCATTAGAGCTTGCAAAATGACGTTTTTCTATTCCACATTATTAGCTAGTATTCTTCCATAATGTTGAGCTTCTTATCAACTGGGCTGCTCAGTTACATTATAATGCATTTCCTACTAAAGAGGCAGGAATGTACTTCATCCTTTTACTAAGTTTCACAATGAATAGTTAAATTTCAGTTTCAAGTGGTAACACATGTTTTTTCATTCTGTGTTTTTAAATAGCATTGTGGATCTATGGATTTTTTATTCAATGTTTAAATCCTTTACAATTCTTACTTTTGATTTTTAAATTCCATGACTTTGACCAGTTATGGGCAAAGTTTTTACTGTTAAAATCTGAAGCACATGTGAGTTCTGAACTAGAGGCATAAAATTAAGAGTTGTCAATGTGTAGGTAGTGGCTTAAGTCACAGGAGTAAATAATACTGCCTAAGGAGGATATAGGGTGGAAAACTAAGCAGTCCAGGTTGGAGCTTTGAGTAACTTCCAGCATTTATAGGAAGAATCTCTACATAGGGATTTGTGAGTTGTTTTTATTGAATTTTTTCTCAGTCTTTCACAAATTGTTTTATGAAATAACCAGAAATGACCAATTATCCTGATTGCTTTTATTCTGAACCTGTTAATATGTTTCTATTTTGATTTACTGTTTTTGAACTTGCATTCCATCCAGCCCTCCAAGAATGTTTAACTTAGCTTTATGTTGAATATGCACAGCTGCAGTAAAAATTACCTTTCTTTTTTGAGACACAGTTTTATTCGTGTTGCCCTGGATGGAGTGCAGTGGCATGATCTCAGCTCACTGCATTCTCCGCCTCCTGGGTTCACGTAACTCTCCTGCCTCAGCCTCCTGAGTAGCTGGGTTTACAGGCATGCGCCACCACACTCAGCTAATACTTTGTATTTTTAGTAGAGACGGGCTTTCACCAAGTGAGCCAGGCTGGTCTCAAACTCCTGACCTCAAGTGATCTACCCTCCTCAGCCTCCCAAAGTGCTGGGATTACAGGTGTGAACCACTGTACTCGGCCTAAAAATGATTCTTTTAGAATAAGAAACAAAAAAATAATATTTTAGTATTAAGAAATTCCCAGAAAGCTAGATCAAAACTGATCCATGCTGATAGTACATACACAGTAAATATAGGAGGTAAAAAATATATTCGGGACTATTACTGACTTGCTTTTTTCCTCAAAAAAAAAAAAAAAAAGTTCCTCTTATAAACTAAAACCTTCATTGGTAATATAAAAATTTTTGTCACTGATATGCTAATATTTATCCATTTTCTATTGGACATCTTTTAACAGACATTTTGTATGTATAAAAAGTATATTACTAACAGCAATATTAGGTTAAAATGTCATTTGAACTTGAATTTTTATGATATTTTAGTAAGTAGGATTGATGGTGAATATTGAATGATATGATGATAGTAGTGGCAATGAAATCCAGTGCTTTCATTGCAACAGACTGGAAACCTAGGTTCAGTTTACAGTGAACTTGCCAGTTTTTAAAAAGCATCACTAAACTCTGTCAAACTCTGCACATCTCAAACAAGGAATATGATATTGTTTGATGATAATAAAACTATTTTTATATCTCTTAAAAATTATATATTTGATTAACTTGATATTTGGGAATTAATACTATGTGCCTTAGAAATTTGTAGTACCCCACTGGGATAATGAACTAACAAAGTACTTTTAGTAACATATTTCATCAATATATTGTAAATAACCACAGGCTGTTTTGACTTGTTATAGTCACTGTTGGAGGCCCATGATATTGTGGCATCAAAGTGTTATGATTCACCTCCATCAAGCCCAGAAATGAATAATTCTTCTATCAGTAATCAGTTATTACCAGTAGATGCCATTCGTATTCTTGGTATTCACAAAAGAGCTGGGGAACCATTGGTGAGTATAGAAAAATCACTGCCCTATTAAATCTGAAATATGATACAATTTGTGATTCAGTCACTATTTCGTTTTTTTTTTTTTTTTTTTCCATAATGTTATGAAAATTGTATTCTTGTTTGGCCTGTGTATATAGACACAACTGATGCTTTCTCAACTTGGTTTAACCTGCAAAATTAAACCAAAATGAAAAGTTAAATTGAGCTAGAAGTAGAAGTATGGCAATGGGTAGCAAAAATTTCAAAAGATGACTACTACATTTCTTCCTACACTTTGAAGATATGAACTACTCTTTAAAGAAATACTGATAGTATCAAAATACGGAAGGAAGTTGGTATGAAAAATTGAAGCCATACTAGGACTCTCTAAGTAGTATGAAGTTTACAATTTCCTGGTAAAATTATTACTTCTGGATCCTGACTATAAGAACTATAAGCTCCTGAAGTCTTAAGTTTTAAAAACAAAACAAAACAAGGAACAATGAGTTCCAAAAAGGATAAGCCAGGAATAAGTCCATCAGAATGCACAAATACCTTTTCTTGCTCCTGTAAGTTTCCTTTTAGCCTGTAAGATACATCCTATCCACTAGTGTAATAACTAGCTATTAGTTTAAAGGGAATAAAATATTGAGACAGGAGAGAACATGGGAAAAGTAAGAATGATTCATTTTACCTAGTTTTAGGATTATTTTCTTACATATGTTCATGAATACTTAAGCATTTCTCCCTAATAAATGAGAAATCTCTTATTTCTTGCAGGGTGTGACATTTAGGGTTGAAAATAATGATCTGGTAATCGCCCGAATCCTTCATGGGGGAATGATAGATCGACAAGGTCTCCTTCATGTGGGAGATATAATTAAAGAAGTCAATGGTCATGAGGTTGGAAACAATCCAAAGGAATTACAAGAATTACTGAAAAATATTAGTGGAAGTGTCACCCTAAAAATCTTACCAAGTTATAGAGATACCATTACTCCTCAGCAGGTTAGTAATCAAATTTTTGATAATATTAAAAATACTTTAATGTTTTTAATGGCAGTGTTGGCAATAACTATCATTTGCTACTATTTTGCTAAAGAAAAGAGAAAAACAATTGATTTGCTCTAAAATGCCTGATTTTGTCATGGGTGAATTTTTGAAGTTTTAAACAGTAGTATTTTACTATTATAAAGGAAGTAGTAAGAAAATTTCTTTGTGAACACCAGGAACCTTGGCATAGCAGAAACCTACAGCTAGATATCAGACAAACCATAAAGCCTTAATTATGAATCTAGCAAACATTTCTGACAGCTGTTATGTTCAGGCATTGTATTAGGCCCTGGGAGAGGATAAAAATCCAGTCCAGATCACCTCCAGCTTAGTGTTTATGAAGAGTGAAATGACTGATGAGGCCAGAAAAAGAGGATGAGTATAAAGAAAATCTTCGGCCCCTGGTTTGCACACATTTGGTCTGTATTTTAAAACTAATTTTAGGTAAAATAAGTAATTGAACAGGAAAATGTTTTAGTGCTAGAGATTGTCTGGCCTTGGTATGTTAAGTGAATTCAAAAAGAAGAGAAATGAGATTATGTAACCAGGTGGCAGATTTTTAAAGGTGTGAGGTGATTTGTGAGCAACAGCTCTAATGAATGGTTAAGATGACCACTTAGGTTCAAATACCAGTGCTGCCAGTTATCAGCTTACTTTCTCTGTGCTTCATTTTTCTCATCTATATAGTTTGGGATAAAATTTATTTTCTCAAAAGGTTGTTATGAGGATTAAATGAGTTAATTCATGTAATGCTCTCACAGTAACACCTGCCACATAGTGAGCGCTTGAGAAGTGGCTGTACTTCTTTGGTGATGAGGCAGTGGTGGTAACATGGAACTGTAAAGGAAGAAAGAGTAAAAACATAATTGCAGAGGAAGAATTGAAAATTATGATAGGAGTGTTGGAACCAAAGAGAGGGTTTTCAAACCTAAATAATATAGAAGTAAATACCTCCAATGTTCAGGTTGATTCCAGAAATGTATTGTTTGATGTATGAATGAAATTATAAGTTTTCTTACATAAAATACTACCAGTGTATCTTATTTCATATTGTTAAAATGAGAGTTTAAAAGTCTAGTTTTTACATTTCCATATAGTTATTTGAAATAACATTTCATTGAATGCCTATTTTAAACTGTTTCTTTCAAAGGTAAGGATATTTAGTCATGAATAGTTTTGTGGTCCTTAAGGAAAAGAATTGTGAAAAATAAATGATATTAGTACTTAGACATTTCATATCACTAGTACCTCTCAAGCTACCTTTATTCCTCAGTTGGCACATTTCCATTAGTGACAGCCTGAGGCCTTATCTTGTACCTTCATAGATTGGAAGAGTAAAATCAAGGATTTACATATTTTATTTATTATGTGTTAGTTGTAGTAGGAAGATTTTCTTTTTCTTCTGTGGTCCAAACTCCAGAATTCCTCTAGTTCACCATGACTGTAATAGACTTACATGCAAAATAAAACTTTATAATATTAATAACTAGAGCTTTGGCCCAAATTCCTGCATAGATTTTGCATCTGGTGAACTGAGTATCATGAAATGCAAGGATATTTAGCCTTGGTTTAAACATAGGTTTTCCTCATTTTATACCCTCTCAAACTCTGCTTTTCACTTAGTATTTAGAGCTAGGGGAAGGAATTAAAGTAGGAGAGGAGTCATACAAGCCTCGGGCAGTCTCAGGCCTGTCCTTCCATAAAGATGAAAAGGAACTATAACATGAAGGCTTCCAAAAGAACATCCAAATTGAGACTTTTTTAAAAAAAAAAAAAGGAAAGGGAAATATTACTCATATGCTGGAGTAAGAGGCATAAACCAGGGCATCTGCAAACCATGGGCATCCTACTAAGATGCTTTAGGGAAGCAAGGACATTTTGCCTCTTCACCTGTCACTAAAAGCTCCACTGTATAGTGCTGTGGAGCCTGTCTCAGCTCTGGATTGCAGCAAAAGCAAATGCAAGCCAAGAATTCTTCCCTATCACAGTAATGTTTTTCAAAAGCATGGTCAGTATATTATCTTTATCAGAATAATTTGAGGTGCTTGCTAAAATTCCAGAATCTCCTATGGGACCTAAGATGTTTTATATTTTGAGGACCAAAGTGAGTTAGAAGTAACCAATTCCGAAGTTCTTCAAATTACATATAGCTTACATTCCCAGAGGCTATTCATAATTCTATTTGTTTAAGGCCAACTGATGGAATTCTCTCTTATTCTTTGGGACCACCATGACCTGGACAACAGTCCTGTAATATATTTTTTATATTATATTAGCAATAGTAAGTGGAAAAGTACCACTTACTATTGGGGAAGGGGTGATCTTGTTCAGAATTTTGATGAAGCTTTCAACAGTGAGGCAAACTGAATTGATTCAGCTTCTAAAAAATAATAAAATTTCAAGAATTTTAAGTGATTTTAAAATTTTTGTTTCATATATGATAAGATGTAAGTTTATGATATTTTAAATTCCAAGGCCCTTGGACACTGCTACTTTTAAATTATTGATTATACACAGTTACTTATTTGCAATTATGTAGCCAAAGAAGCCAGAAAATAGTTTAAAACAAAGATAAATAAAGCTTTTGCCTAGTTGAAAAAGAAAGAAAGAAACCAGGAAAGGATGCTCACTAGCACCACTTCTATTTCATATTTTCTTGAAAGGTCCATAAATACAGTATGACAAAAATAAATTATAAAAGCAAAATGTTTAGAAAGGAGGCAGTAAAACTTCTTATTTACAAATACGAGTTTTTGCGTAAAAACCCCTCAAAACTACGACTTACTAGAAATAATAGAGTTTACCAAGTACCTGAAAATAAGATTAAGACACAAAACTCAGTTGCATTTCTATATGCCTCAGCAAACATCTAGAAATGTAACTATGACATCATTTACAGTAGAGTCAGAGAATGCCACATTTATGTCTAGGAATAAATCTAACCAAAAAAATTCAAGACCTCTTCACAAAAGAATCACGAAGAGGGTCTAAATAAGCAGGTATATTATGTCATGGATAGGAAGACAATATTGTGAAGATGTAGTTTCCACACATTTACTTGTAGATTTAATGGAATTCCAGTCAAAATTTCATCAGAGTTTTCCATGGAATTTAATAAGATGAATAGCCAAGACACTCTTGAGTCCAAAAAACAGGAATGGGGTTTGATTATTAATGTGTAGGAATTAAGATATTGTGTTGGTGGCATAGGAATAGACAGCATGGTCAATGGACTTTCAGAGAGCTCAGAAAGAGACCTATACTTGCATATTACTTTGATATATGACAGAGATATGTCTTTCAATGTGGAAAGGAGAGACGATTCAATGAATGGGAGAAACCTGGTTATACTTAGGGATACTGTTTGAAATTGTGTTTCACTCTACATAGAAAAATCAAGTAAAAGAGGACATGTGTTCAGTAAACATAAAAAAATAATAAAAATCATAACGCTATATCATTTATACTATTAAGTTGGTAAAAATTATAGCTGTGAATCTACAGCATTTTTTCTACACTGGTGGCAATGTATATTGGTATAAACACATTGGGGAAAAATGTTTAGTATCTCTTAGAGTTCAACATTCACATATATCAAGCGGCAATAATTCCCTAGAGCAATTCTTATGTATGTTCAGCTGGAAACATGTTAATAAGCATGTAAACCTCCAAAGATTACATGCAGATAGCATGCTATTTTTTTAAGTTTAAAATAACTAAATATATAATTTTAAAGAGTACATATAAATGCAGTAAAACTATGTATGAAATGAAAAGCAAGGAGTTTTTGAACCCAAGATTCAGGGTGAAGTGAGCCTTGGTTGGGGAAACCAGAATGATGGGATGGGATGGAATGAGGGCAGGGGAATCAAGTAGGATTTTAATGTTGGTTTTAGGTGGCAAGTGCATAGCTATTATATTATTAAAACTAATTAAATCAATAAAAGCAGTCCTTGCATGAACCAGTGATATAAGCTTAAGAATTATGATTAGTATAATTCAGGCCTAGGTTAGTAGGTTTTGTTTTTATGTTTTTGTTTTTTGAGACAGAGTCTAGCACTGTGACCCAGGCTATAGTGCAGTGGTGCAGTTTTGGCTCACTGCAACCTCCATTGCCTGGGTTCAAGCAATTTTCCTGCCTCGGCCTCCCAAGTAGTTGGGACTGCAGGTGTGTACCACCACACCTGGCTAATTTTTGTATGATTTTTTAAAATAAATTTTTTTATTTGAGGCTTGAATTTATGGCCCTCAGATATTTATCAAAAAGAAATGTGAATTACCCTTCAAAGCTTTTTAACCCAAACATATATTCTTATCTTGCTACTCAAAAATGTATGTGTACATCTGTATTTAACCAAGTAGACCAAGTTCATATACTAGAAAAGTTTAGAAATAGAGTGTCCTTTCTCAGCTAGTGTTGTGGAAAATCTCTTAGCAATGATAATCACCTTGTTCACCATTTTGTCACTCAGTCTGAAAGGCAAATTCAGATGGGTCTGGAACTCTGTTCTGTAAACAACATTTGCACCATGTTTAGCCAACACATTCTGAAAGAATTACTAGCCACCTTCTGATTTAACATCAGGGTCAAGGTGGAGCTGTTTTTCTAGCCATTTCATCCATTTAATTTCTTTTCATCTGTTAATTATTGTCATTTGCATAAGCATAGTGTATTCCTGTGCAATATTTATTTTCTCAATACTTTTACTCATTTTACTTTTTAAAAATACCCTTGAGATAAAGTTTATATACATAACATGTAAAGTGTACAATTTGTTATGTTTGGACGTACATAATGGACCCATAAATCACAATTGAGATGATGAACACTCGCAGAAATTTGTGTTCCTTTTTTTCTTTCTTTTTTTTTGCGACAGCACCTCACTCCATCACCCAGGCTGGAGTACAGTGACATGATCACAGCTCACTGCAGCCTCAACCTCCCAGGGCTCAGATAATCCTCCTACCTCAGCCTCCCGAGTAGCTGGGACTACAGGACAGGCATGCACCATCACGCCTAGCTAATATTTGTATTTTTTTGGTAGAGACAGGGTTTCACCATGTTGTCCAGGCTGTCTTGAAGTTTTGTGCTCAAGCTATCTGCCCGCCTTAGCCTCCTAAAGTGCTAGGATTACTGGCATGAGCCACTGCGCCTGACCTTCCGGCTTCTTTGTGTCCACTTATCTTTCCCTCCTGCTCCCTTTTGCTCTGCCACTTCCTACTCCAGGAAACTACTGCTCTACTTTTTGTCACTTTAAATTATTTTGCATTTTCCATACTTTTATATAAATGGAATACATGCATTCTTTTTTGGATTTTGTTTGATTCGTTTGTTTAGCTTCCTTCAGTCTGCATAGTTGTTTGGGCGATTCATTCATGTTATGTATCTTGAGAGTTCATTTCTTTTTATTGACCAGTGACATTCCATTGCATGGCTGTACCACAGTTTGTTTATCCATTAGCTGGCTGATGAACGTTTTTTGTTACCATTTTGGGGCTTTGATAATAAATAAATAAAATAAAGCTGATATGGACATTTACATGTAGGTCCTTGAGTAAATACCAGGAATTGAAGAATTGGGTCATAATGGTAGGTATATGTTAAACTTTTGAAGAAATGACTAAACAGTTTTCAAAAGTTAGTGTACCAATTTAAATTTCCACCAGCATTATATGAAAGTTCCAATTACTCTACATTTTGGATAACATTTGATATGGTCAGTCCTGAAAATTTTAGCCATTGTTATAGTGTGGAGTGGTATCTCATTGTGATTTTAATTTGCATTTTCCTTGACTAATAACATTGAACATATTTTATGTGTTTATTTGCCATACTTATGTCCACTTTGGTGAAGTGTCTTCATATCTTTTGTCCATTTTTTGTTGAATTGTTTTTCTTATTTAGTTTTGAGTATTCTTTACGTATTCATGATACAAGTGCATCATCAGAATTGGGATTTGCCAAGACTTTCTTCCAGTCTCTAGTCTTTTCATTCTCTTAACAATGTCATTCAAAGAGCAGAAGTTCTGAATTTTCATGAATTCCAGCTTATCAATTTTTTTCTTTGAGTTATCCTTTTAGGGCTTTATTTAAGAAGCCCTTGTATAACCTTTGGTCATAAAGATTTTCTCCAATTTTTTTTCTACAAGTTTTACAGTTCTATCTGTGCTATATATCTGAGTCTATCTAGGGTTCATATACTGTGTGTTCATTTTTATATAGGATGTGAGGAAAGGATCAAAGCTTATATTTTGCATATGAATATTCAGTTTTTCCAGCTCAGTTTGTTGAAAAGACTATTTCTGTCATCAAATTTGGAAAAACTTTGACAGTAGTTTCTTCAAATATTTTTTCTATGTCTGTTTCTCCTGTCCTTTGGTGACTTTAGTTACATGTATATTAGGCCCCTTGAAGTTGTCCCATAGCTCACTGATTAGTTCATTTATTTCAGCCTTTATTTTCTGTTTTTCATGTTGGATATTTTCTATTGCTTTGTCTTCAAGTTTACTAATCTTTTCTTTTGCAATGGCTAATCTGCTGTTCATCACACCTAGTGTGTATTTTTCATCTCAGATATTTTGACTATCATTTCTAGAAGTTCAGATTGGGTCTTTTTTATGTGTTTAATATACTTAATCCTTCCTATAGCTTCTTGAACTATGAATATAATATGTAAAGTTAAAACAATTACTGTAATGTCCTTGTCTACTAACTCTAGCATATTTGTCATTTCTGTGTCAATCTTAATTGATTGATTTTCTCCTTTTTATAGGTTTTATTTTTCTCCCTCTTTACATGCTTGGCCATTTTTGATTGGCTGCCAAACATCATGAATTTTACCTTGTTGGGTGCTGGATATTTTTGCATTAGAAATACCCTTTCTTTTTCTTCCAACTTTTAGGTTCAGGGAGTGTGCGTACAGGTCTGTTACATGGATAAATTGTGTGTTTCTGGAGTGTAGTGTACAAATGATTTTGTCACCTAGGTAGTGGGCATTGTACCTGATAGGTAGTTTTTCAGTCCTCACCCTCCTCTCATCCTCCACCTTCAGGTAAGCTGCCGGGTCTGTTATTCCCCTCTTTGTCTCCATATGTACTCAATGTTAGCACCCACTTACAAGTGAGAACATGCAGTGATCTGGTTTTCTGTTCCTGCATTAATTTGCTTAGGATAATGGCCTCCAGCTATGTCTGTGTTGCTCAAAGGACATGATTTTATTTTTATGGCTGCATAGTATTCCATGATGTATATATACCACAGTTTCTTTATACAGTCCACCATTATTGGGCATGTAGGTTGATTCCGTATCTTTGCTATTGTGAAAAGTGCTGTGATGAACATATGTGTACATGTATCTTTATGATAGAATGATATATATTCCTTTAGGTATATATCCAGTAGTGGGATTGCTGGGTCAAATGGTAGTTTTGTTTTAAGTTCTTTGAGAAATCTCCCAACTGCTTTCCACAGTGGCTGAACTAATTTACATTCCCACTAGCTGTTCCCTTTTCTCTGCAACTTTGCCAACATATATTTTGACATTTTAGTAAAAATTATTCTTAAGCTTTGTTCTGGGGTACAGATGATTCTTTTAGATCTTGCTTTCTAAGATTTTTTAGGTAAGATTACAGGATGTAGTTTAGCTCATAACCCTTCTAAGTATCATACCCCATGTCTTATGAATTATGAAGGTTTTTCCACTTGGCCTGGTGAGAACAGAAACTGTTCTTGACTGTATACAACCTCCATATATTGTTCCCTATAATGCTTTCAAATGACTCTTTACCACCATTGAGGAAAGAGCTACACAGAGGGTGCAGGTAGCTTCTTCATACACATGCATTGATTAAGTACTCAGTTGGAAACGGAGTCCTCACAATGTTCTTTCTGTGCAGTCTTTGCTCACTGATACTGTGTTCCATGCACTGTAACCACCTTGATCTCTCAGGTCTCCCAGTTCATTGCCTCAACTTGGAGACCACCAGGCTTCACCTTTCTCTCTTCCTGAGTTGCAGCCTGGAAACTCTCTGTGCAGTTAGCTGGGACATTTGTGCAGCTCATCTTGTTTCCTACATCTTTCGGGGTCACTGTCTTCATTGCCTGATCTCTGACATCTTGAAAGACATTGTTTCATATATTTTGTTAATATAATTTTTAGTTGTTTCAGGTTGGAGGGTCCTTGTTATTTCATCTGAAGCAAAATGGGAGTCATTTATTTTTATTACCTTAAAAATTTAATTTTTGTATAAGTGAATCATTCCCATGATTCAAAAATCAAGAAATGTAAATAGGTATTCAGTCGAAATCTCCCTCCAAGTCCTCCCACTACCACGCTAGACCTCATCCCCCACCAAGTAAAAACCTATTCTATTAGCTTACCTTTCCAGAATTTCTTCATATGCAAGTAAATAAAAATTACATATCCTTTTTCACCTTCTACCTCCTTTTTCATAGAAAGTTTGCATAGTATACATGCTATTCTGAACCTTATTTTTTTCACTTAGCCATGTATCTTGAGGATGTTTTCTTATTGGTGCATAGACTTCACACACACACACACACACACACACACACCTTTTTAATGACTATATATAGTGTCCACATCACGTAGACATACTATCATTTGTTTAAAAGTTCCCTTTTGTTAAACAATTAGGTTGCTGTCAATCTTTTGCTATTAGGAATAATGTCGGAGTTAATCATCTTGTGCATAACTCATTTTGCATGTATCTGCATAACGTAGCTGTTGAATACATTCCCAGACATGGATTACTAGGTCAGAGGGTTTATGCATTTGTGTTGCCAAATTGTCCTCCCAAGAGGTAGAACCATTCTTCCACAAGCCTGTTAGGAAAATGCCTATTAACCCACAGTTCTATTTATAGGAATGTTATGAAATACAAGGATTTCTGCTAATATGATAGGGAAAAAAAGTTATAAAATAGTTTAATTTGTATTTCTAAGTGAGGTTGTTGAACATCTCCTATGCTTAAAAGCCATTTCTACTTCCTTGTCTTTGTACTTTGAATTGTTTTGGTCATTCAGTTCTTTATAGTAATAAGAATGTGAAATAGAAATATTTTAGTAGATAGTGTTTAGTCATTTCTTAACGATGAATGAACAGTTAACATCCATAGCCTATAAGTGCAACACTTTAAATTGCATTTAATAAAATATAATTATATTAAATCTAGCCATATCTTTAATGGTTTTAGAGTCATTACAAAATGGTTAGATCAAAGGTTGGGTTAATTTTTCCGACAAATTTTTAAAGTTCAAAGTAAAGTCAGGTTAATCTGAGTTTTTGACCGTAAGAGTAATGTTCTAAAACTACTTTAATAAATGAAGAAAAATAGAAATTGTCCTAAAAATATTTTACCTTTGAAAGATATGGTTTGTATTCCACAAAAAATGGCATTTCCAGAACAATTTGATGGATGTTGGAGAAATGAATGTTTGAAATTTGGACTATCTTGTAAAGTCCAAGCTTTATGGTTACAAAATATATTCTGTTCCATACGTAAGAATGATAATCATCTTCATGGTTAGATGACAGGATTCTCTTGCTGTTCTTCAATCAGTGCATCTTTCTTGAGAAGTAAGGAGTATTCAGGTATTTTTATAGCTTTACATACCAACTCTTTTTCTCTGACTGATCTCCAATACCTTTAACTTTTTGTTCTGTCATTTATAGCTTGCAGGTATTATACTTTGTGGACAATTAATTAGGGAAGTAGTTGCTTTACCAAATGAGTGAAGTAATAAAATGGGCTAGTAGTTTGTTTATATTTTCTTAATTTATTATAAATTAAAAGTCCATTACAAATATATTTTTAGAGTTACATCAATATGGAGAGGCATCCAGCAGACATCCATCAGGTATGATGTCATTCCAGAACATTCTCTGGTACTTCATTTTTCTGTCTTATCAGCCAACTAAATTTCCTTTGATTAAATTTAATTATTTTGGATTTTTGCCCCCATTGTCAAAACATGGAGCTGCATGACATCATCAGGTTATCCACTTGTCACACTTTAGTAATCTTACTGTTGTTTGTATGCTTGCTTTTTAGATTTAAAATTGTATCAGGAAAACAATTATTGACCTGATTTTTTTAAGGATTAATATTTAGCTTTTCTAGAATAGTTGAAAATGTTCTGAATGCTTTCTATGAAAATCATCTAATTATAACTAACTATGATTTTATTATATGTTCCCAGATTTCTTTATCTTAAAATTGTTTTGTTTGCATCAGTTATAGTACTTTTTACCACACTAATAATCTGTCTACTTGTGTTATTTGAATCTTGTTTGGTTAGAAAAGTATTATAAATAGAAAAATAACATTGTTATTTTGACTATGCACTTTCTTGCTTATTAAAGTTTACATGCTGATTAATGCTAAGGCAGTTCTTTAGAAGATAAAATTTGAATTTCTTTAAATATGTATTAAACAATTCTGTTTTAAGAAAGCAGTTGGGCTGGGCACAGTGGCTCATGCCTGTAATCCCCATACTTTGGGAGGCCAAGGCGGGCAGATCACTCGAGATCAGGAGTTTGAGACCAGCCTGGCTAACATGGCGAAACCCAGTATCTAGTAAAAATACAAAAATTAACCAGGCTGGTGGCACATGCCTGTAATCCCAGCTATTTGGGAGGCTGAGGCAGGAGAATCACTTGAACCTTGGAGGTGGAGGTTGCAGTGAGCCAAGATCATGCCACTGTACTCCTGCCTGGGTGAAAGAGTGAGACTCCATCTCAAAAA